AGGTGCCACTTGACTGTTTTGGACCCGGGGGGCCAGAGGGGCTCTGCAACTTACCTGGCTGCTTCTTGCTCTGACTGAGGGCTGCTGGGAGCAGGGGGTGGGGCTTGTTGCATGTGCCCGCCCCCTGGGCTCTTTACTACCAGAGCTCCATTCCTGTGCGCTCCTGCAGGAATGACCCCTGACTCAGACTAACAGTAGCTCTCCAGGGTCTCAGGCTGAGGTCTTTCACATCACTTACGGCCTGGTCTGTCTAACTGGAGATTCTGGGGATTGAACCTGGGACCTTCTGCATGCCAAGCAGAGGCTCTACTTCTAAGCCGCAGGCCCTCCCTCAATTAAGTGAAACTTGTGAATTTACCAGTTTTACAGATGAGATGATCAGAGGCCAGGTGGCCAGGAAGACAATAATTCTGAAATCCGAGAAAAACTTCTCATGACAAAGGGGGGGGAAATCCATAGAAATTGCTCAGAGTGGAAAGTGCTTTCCCCTGTGCTAAATGAAAAAGTAGACCAGGGGCTGTTAAGCAGAACAGAATAACAAAACCGGATGTTAAAGAATTTTGCCTTGGGTTGATGCCTTTCCTACATTAAGCTAAAAAAAAATATATCCTTTTCCTAGTAATCCCGAGCACTGCCATACGAGCTGACATTTTCATTGGGCTGTCCACCACTACCCCAAGATTTCATTTCTGCTAAATCCCCCTGTCTTTAAAAGGATCATTTGTTCACGTACCCCTTCCCTGCAAGTGACATTGGAACGTGGAGAAACGGAACTCTAGGAACCCTTCGGGGAATCTTTTTTTTAAAAAAAAAAACTTTTTTTTTTTGCTGATGCCATCTTCCTTTTAGCACACTTTGCAAGTTTCCTCTTATCTAACGGAATCGATTTTGCCTCTGTGTCCCAATATGTTTACTTGCCCCCCTCTTGTTTGCTGTCACTTCTTGGACCTGGGACAAATATTGCAGCCCTTCGGTTGTGGAAACGGTGGTTGTCGCGCCTCCTATAAATGGGGGCCTCTGCTCTGTTTCCTTCTACCCTTCCTTCCAGCAGAGCTCACCTCCTCGATCTTTTTGCGCACGAAGCCATGAAATCGTTGCTCGCCCTGGTGCTCTTGGCTCAGCTCCTGAGCTGCACAGCCGACTCGGTTCCGGAAGTTCCTGCAGAAGTTGTTCCCCCCACCGTGCACAAAGTCCCCGGCTGTGATGACCCTGAGACTGAAGCGGCAGCACGTGTAGCAGTGGCCTATATCAATAAACACCTGAAGCACGGATATAAAGTTGACCTCAACAGGATCGAAAAGGTCCGCTACTTTGAAAGGGTAAGTGCTGCGTGGGAAATGGATCGTTCCCCTGAGAACGCATGGAAGGCAAGGCCCTTCTGGCCGCCATAACCCCTCGTTAGGATGGCCGATCCAATCACCCATCTCCGGAAGACGCCCAGAACCCATTTCAGCTGGTATGCCATTTTCCTATCCAGAAGTTCATTTCGAAAAGGGTAACTGTGAGAGGGGGCACAGGTCCCGTCCTCCCCAAGAGGTTCAGTCAGGCGTGGTCTCAGTGATTCCGGGGGCCTGGGGAAAAAACGCAGGATGGGGTCCCAGAGTTGCTGCCGCTGCCCCCCCCAATCAATGCTCCCTCTGGGCTGTGGAGTCTTGTGATCAAAAATTCTATTTTGTGTGAGCTGTGAGTGAGCAATTTGGCTAAATTGGTTTGCTCCAGAGCCATCCTTCCTAAGACAAGACAAAAATGTGTGAGCCGGAGGCTAAAAAACTGTGAGCTAGTTCACACTAACACAGCTGAGAGGGAACACTGACACCCCCTCACACACACCAGGGGTAGCTGGGAGTGAGCCACCACTGGAAACTGGTCATAGATCCAGAGGAATCAGCTGTGTTGGTCTGTTGCTGCAAAATAGTAAGAAGCCCAGTAACACCTTTAAGGGTGCGTTCAAATGGGCCGTTTAGTCCGCTTTCGGCCCACCTCAGAAACGGGTTTTATCTGCGTGATCACATGGTCAACATCTGCCTCCCGTCCCCAGCCATCACTTTCCGGCTCAAAACAGCTTTAATCCGGAGTATTTTAATAGCAGGTCCCCAAGTGGTGTTTTCCTGATTCTCCGGTTCCAGCCGCATTTTTCCCCTGTGTGATTGCGCCTCCGTTGTCGAGCCACTTCCGGTTTAAGCCCCCTCCCCGCTTGGAAGCTGCCCGAGGCTTCCGCTTTTCGCCCACAATTTTTAAAAAAGGATTGGCGGTGTGCGCATAGCCGGAGATCCGCCACAGGGTTATTAAAAACAAGGTTTAAATGATGCAGCCTTTAGACGAGTTCGGAATCTCACAGAGGCCATTTCCGGCGGTAAATGTTTAAAGGGAAGTGTTCCTTTAAAGATTAAAGGGAAGTGTTACAGCGGTCGGGTTGAAGTGGAAATCGCTGTTCTGCGCAGGCGTGAAACTTTTAGTTCCACAGATGGCTGCCTGTGCGCATGCCCAAACTGAGAGAGAGAGAAAAAAACAACAGCGCAGCGATCCGGAGCAAGGAGGTGAGTGTGATCGCGATTCTCCAGGTTAAAGAAGACCGCATCAGGGCCGGAGCGATTTAAACCGCTCCCAGCATGCCGTCTGACCGCACCCTAAGACTAACAAACTTTATTGTAGCATAAGCTTTATTGTAGCATAAGCTTACGCTACAATGAAGTTTGTTAGTCTTAAAAGGTGCTACTGGGCTTTTTACTATTTCGCTGGAAAGCAGCTGCCCGAGCTTTGGACAGTGTTGATTGCAAACGATGGCGGCAGAGGAAGCCTACTCTATTTCTCTCCCCCCCCCCAACCCTCTACCACAGGGCCCCCCATGGCAGTTGCCTCAGCTGCCCATTGGCTGAGACTGCCTCTGGGTTTGGTTACAGAGATCAGAAATTTGATCATAGGAGACCAGCGGCCAATCTGACAGATTTGTAGGCATCGATCCATGGCTCCATGGCTCTAAGCAGGATGGATCATTAGAAGAAGAAGAAGAGGGGGAGGAGGAGGAGGAGATTGGATTTATACCCCGCCCTTCACTACCCAAAGGTGTCTCAGAGCGGCTTACAAACTCCTTTCCCTTCCCCTCCCCACAACAGACACCCAGTGAGGTAGGCGAGGCTGAGAGAGCTCTGACAGAAACTGCTCTTTCTCAAGGACAGCTCTTATCAGAACTATGGCTTGCCCAAGGTCATCCAGCCAGGTGCAAGTGGAGGAGTGGGGAATCAAACCCGGTTCTCCCAGATTAGAGTCTGCGCACTTCACCACGACACCAAACTGGCTACACCAAAAGAGATCTGAATAATAAGTTGTCCAATTTTGTGCGGTGATTTCAGGGGGGGGGGGTTGGTTACAAAGTTCACGATGATCTCTTTGCTCTGCTGTGTAACCGAGCCCCACAGGAGGAAAGAGAAGAGTCGGACCTCTCCGGGCTGTCAGCATGCTCGTCCCTTTCCCCCATTTTCCCCCTATGAGCAGGGCTGCTGACGGGCCCATAGCTACAGTGGGGCATCTCGGGGCCTAGCCTCCCCTCCCCCGACTTACTGCCAAGGCGCTCCCCAACTTCCTGTCCAGCCCAGGCCCTCCCAACGTCCAATTTTTAAATTTTATTTGTGGTGCTCCCTTGGGGGGGGTGTCTGTGCGGGGTGCCCCCTGACTTCTTTAAAGCCCCCCTGAATTTAAAAAAAAAATCCTGGCTACGGGACTGGCTGCTGAGAAGGTGGAGCCAGGAGAACAAGATTGAGGGGGGGGGAGTTTGTCACCCACAGAACGAGTCATGTGATTAATTTTCATTCACCGTTTGGGTGAAGGTCCCGGTGATTGGAGGGGGGCTCAAAGGGACCGCTGGTGGCTTTCGACAACCCCGGTCACGTGACTTGTTTAATTTTTATTCCGTTCTGGCTCCACAAACTCCACAAAACGGGCACTGCTCCAGGTGTTTATCCACTCCCCTCTTGAAGCTGTCAAAGCTTGTCGTCCTGTGGCAGTGAATTCCTTGTGTGAAGGAGATCCTCGGGGGTGCCGCAGTTTTCCTTCCACCTGTGTTCAGCGGTCACACTTGCCATGTTTGAATGTATCGATCAGAGGAGAGCCAACACTCCTAGGCAATGTTCCCTCTAAGCCGTGGAGTCCTGTGAGCAAAAATTCTACTTGGTGAGCTACTGGCATTAAAGTTGTGAGCAAGTCATTTGGCTACTGCATACATTAGTTTGCTCTGGAGCCATCCTTCCTGAGCTGAGACAAAAATGTGTGAGCCGGAGGCTAAAAAACTGTGAGCTAGC